CTGGAATGCAATGTCGCCATCTCGGCTCACTGCAACCTCCGCCTCCTCATGGGTTCAAGCAATTCTCCTGCCTCAGCCTCTCAGTCAGCTGGGATTACAGGCACCCACCACCATGCATGGCTGATTTTTCTGTATTTTCAGTAGAGATGGGGTTTCACCATGTTGGCCTGACTGGTCTCGAACTCCAGACCTTAGTGTCAAATAAGGAAACAAAGGCTTAAGGCTGGCATGGTGGCTCACGGCTGTAATCTCAGCACTTTGGGAGACCAAGGAGGGCAGATCACTTGAGGTCAGGGAGTTTGAGACCAGCCTGACCAACATGGTGAAACCCCATCTCTACCAAAAATACAAGAAATTAGCCATGCATGGTGGCAGGTGCTGGTAATCCCAGCTATTCAGGAGGCTGAGGCAGAAGAATCTCTTGCACCTCTGAGGCAGAGTTGCAGTGAGCCAAGATCGTGTCACTGCACTCCAGCCTGGGCAACAAAGCAAGACTCCATCTCAAAAAAAGCGCCAATTTTTAAACGTGGTGGTGCCAGTAACATTCTTTTCCTTGATCTGAATGCTGTATGTCTTTATCAAGTTGTCCACTTATGATATGTGCATTTCTCTGTGTGTACAGTATACTTCAATTAAGATAGATTTTAAACGGCCAGGCATCGTAGCTCACACATGTAATCCTAGCACTTTGAGAGGCTGAGGCAGGGGGATCACGAGGTCAGGAGTTCGAGATCAGCCTGACCAATACGGTGAAACCCTCAACTAAAAATACAAAAATTAGCCAGGCATGGTAGCATGCGCGCCTGTAGCCCCAGCTGCTCGGGAGACTGAGGCAGGAGAATCGCTTGAACCGGGGAGGTGGAGGTTGCAGTGAGCCGAGAACATGCCACTGCACTCCAACCTGGGTGACAGAGCAAGACTCCATCTCAAAAAAATAAAAAAGATAATTTTTTAAAAATAGGCCAGGTGTGGTGGCTCACGCCTGTAATCTCAGCACTTTGTAAGGCGTAGGTGGGTGGATCACCTGAGGTCAGGAGTTCGAGACCAGCCTGGCCAACATGGTGAAACCTGTCTCTACTAAAAATACAAAATTAGCCAGTATGGTGGCACAGGCCTGTAGTCCCAGCTACTCGGGAGGCTGAGACAGGAGAATCGCTTGAACCTGGGAGGCAGAGTCTGTAGTAAGCTGAGATGCAACCACTACACTCCAGCCTGGGCAAGACAGAGCAAGACTCTGTCTCAAAAAA